AGAATCTTTGAGTTATTAATTAGAAATATAGGCATAAATGAAAAGGTTCTGTTCACTCGTTCTCATTTCTTACTATTATGAATGTGAAAAATGAGTCTTCACAGAGATGGAACTGATAATTGAAAACCACACAGAATAAACAGACGTTTAGATGTAAGACCAGTTGTGAGATTCAAGGTCAAAAATAAAATCAAAAGAATTTACAAGCTGCTAAATTTGTAGATAAAAACAGAAAACTAATAAAAAGAACTCTAAGTATCGACTAATATCGCGTAATATGAACGAGTTCTAGGCAATATCAATAAAGAACATTCAGTTTTCGGTGCAGAAATCCAAGATTTAACAAGGAAGTTTCTAAATTTAAATTCTGCGTCTTTTTATGTCAGCTTTTAACCCTTGCTGTTTGAGACCTTTGGTAGAGCAGTCTCTTGGAATTGATCATGTCTTACATACTCTGATCGTTTAAGTGCTATTTCGCACGTGGCATCAATAAGTGTTTGGAATTTGCATGGTTTTCTCACTTTTTTCGTAGTAATTTAGTTTTAAATAAATTTCTTGTAGGCTGTAATAAACCTCGCAAATCTTCTTTCATTTACTATAAATCGCTTGTATTGAATTTGCAGTAAGGTGCCTCGCTTGAGTTTTTAAAGAGTCTTACTGCTGTATTCGTAAAAAAATAAGAAGGAATCGAATAAAAAAAGAAAGGAGAAAAAAGAAAAGAATTCCTTGTTTACCAAATAAAAGACAATTTTGTCAAGATATAATAAGTGTCTTAATATTCTTAAATTCAAATAAAATTTGAGAAGAATGTAAAAAAATTAATTGAATTTTTCTGAGAAATTTCTATTAGACATAAAAAAAAAGTTCGTATATGTTTTGAGTTCTGGATGCATAAAGAATAATGAATTTTTTAGTCTAAATTTGACAATTTAAGCCTCTTCTGAATAACTGTGGTGCTCTGAACACTTGTTGCAGTTTGCTTTATTTGTTTTATCAATAAAAAATACGTAACCCGAAGAAATTTTGCATGCGTATGTATCATGCATTTTGTAAGATCTGGGTGGAGAGCAAACAAGATGAAAAATGATTCTGAAAAGCAAAAAAACTGTTATTTCAAAAAAAAATTGAGGCTTATCCAGAAAGAAGCGAAAAATCTTGAAGAGCAAGCTTAAGAAAAATAATGTTTGATTTTTATGACTGAAGAGACGGGAATAGCAAAGCTTAAATTTTTTAACACTTTCTCAACTGCAGCTGTTTTGATAGATTTCAATAGCAAAACTTCTTTCAATAATATACTTAATTTAGAGGAAATAACGTTGATGCACTTTTTAACGTCGGAACCGGTTATCGAATTTGCAGAGGTTGGCTCTTAGACCAAAAATTATTTTATACTTATATAAAAAACTGTGATGAGTAGTTTATTATTGAATCAAAAATTATCTAAAGGTAAAAAAAGCAAGCTGCACAATTCTTTAAATGTTGTGTTTTATGACTTTTCCAGTTTGCTAATTTTTAAACTCTGCGTCGCCAATTAAAAAGTATAAAAGTTTATCAAGAAATGCGTTTGTGGCATAATCAGACCTTACTGAAATAAGAAAAAAAAGTATACATCTAAAGTGTACATCTAAAGCTGTTGCATCACCTTCGCTATGCTTAAAAAACTGTAGCTTTGTCCAAGTAAGAATTTCAAAGCAAACTGAAACATTTTTTGCTAAAATCAAAAAATGTTTTTTTCTGTCTTTCAATTGAATGCTTAAACGTTACAAAAAAACAAGTTTTTAAGTTATATGTGATTTTAGAAAGCTACATTTTGAATTTTTAAAAGAAACACTTTTTGAATACTTGCTTTTGCATAAAACGTAAAAAAAAATATACAGTAGTATTTTTCCTGTAAATAAAAGAACTGGCAAAAATGATAGAGATCGCATATCCTTCAACGTTGCTACCGTAGTTCTATGTCGTTTTAAAATTTGAGCTATATTGTTTCAGCTAAACTCTAAACTGCAATAAATCTCAACGGCATTTGTTCTTTTCCGTCTAGTCACAATTATTCTACTGAAAAAATTTGCTCATAAAGCTTTCAAAACTAAGAACTAAAAAAAGAATAAACAAGTTTTTGTTTGCTAGATCTGACATATGACAAATTATTTATTAAAAATTTTTACTAAAAAATTTTACACTCAGCGATAGTTAGGTTTCTTCACGAGTATGGCCTTACTGAACTATTTTCTTTTGAAGGATATTTTTTCGTAGTCACAGAGAAATTTTAACAAGAAATCGATAAAGTAATGACTATGGAATATTGTTAAATCTTTAGGAGAACTAGGTGGCAGAAGAGAATTTAGTAGAGAACAAAGTCTATAAAGTAGTTGTGCTTCTTGATGGAGGATGTTTTAAAGAACTTTGGAAATAAAAAGTGCACTTTAGATGAACAGTTTTTGAACACCGTATGTCTGAGAAGCGGTACAGCCTTTAAACTTTTTCCTTTTTGCGTTTTTCTTTCATCTTCCTAGCTTTACATCCTCTTCCAAGACAGTTGCTGCGTAGTAGTCTTGGAGCTGGTTATGATATGACAAGAGCTGCAACACTCCAGCGAAGTCATTGTGACTTGACAGAAAGCTCAATATGCAAATCGTGCTTTATTAACAAAGTTCTCAGCACTTCTTGAAAGAGTTTTTCCCTAAGTAATTAAACTGGTACAGTTCTTCCCAATAGTTTTTAATCTTGTTAATTCTAATTTAACAAATCTTGAAACTATTTTAGAATATCCTACAAAACACTTTTATTTTTTTTTTTTTTTTTTGCTTTCAGGATATAACAGACAGCAAAACAGGCCACTCAAGTAAGTCTCTATAACCACCTGGTAATTAAACCTATTACTGCAGCTAAAAAATATTTTAAAGCATAGTTGAAGCAGTACACAAAAATTCACATAAACCCTGTCAAATTTATTAAAATGATATATTTCTCAAAAAAAATTTCATAAAACATTATTGTTTTGCGCAGACTATCCTTCGTCTTCGTGTGTCGCGGTTACAGATAGCCGCCTAAAATTGAAGATTCGATTTCTTGTCTTCTCTTCTTAATTTTTCTATGAAATCTAATTTCTACGACTCTCACTCTAAGCGGGATTTACCTTTGCCACTCAAAGTACCAACCGATTAGCTGACCGACTTCCTGATATGAGTCTATGACGTTGTCTAGCCATATACTCTCAGTGATGACCACTTTTTTCTTATTTTTTTCTAAAACCGTCAATCTGCGTTCCTAGGAGAAGATTGCTGTAACCTGCGTTGCCTTACCTAAGCTTAATGAATCTACGCCTAAGCGCTTTTTTGTGAGTTTAATAAATCTTGTCAGTAACTAGTTTATTAGCTACACCTAGAAATAATATAACAAATATGAAGTCAGCGATAGCAGTCTCAACGACTGTTGTATGCATCATGGTGTAAACAAGCACTCGATAAGGAATAACTAAAAAACAATTATTCCATGTTAATAACACTAACACATGCAAGAAGAATAATCTGCCTATGGGCACGTGAAATAATTGTGAAAGCACAGTTTGCGAGTAGAACACAATCAATTGAAACCAATTTAAGACACTGACCCAAAGTGAGCCAAATCGTTTATTTGTATACCTGTGCCATGGTTTCTACTGCTGTTCCTCCAGAAGTTTCCACACAGGGAATATGCAGTAGGCAGCCATCTTCTATTGTAAACTTACCATTTCGTGTATGGTTCCGACATTGCGCTAGACAAATTTTTATGTTTACAACTAGCAAAAGTCCTGGTTCTGTGGACTTGTCGTGCCACTGCAGTAGTTTACGCTTGCAGAATACAATGGAAAATAAACGTTACAAAGAAAAAAATAACAGTTGCAGAAACACGTGTGTAAAAAAGTATTGAGATAGACATTAAACTAGAGGCACAAGTCGAGACAAAGATCTCAAGTGAAATCTTACTGTTCTGAAAAAAAAAAA